CCTTGTGTTGAGCACGCCCAAGATCTCGAAAATAATGAGCTCGAACATCGTGCACGAGAACGCAAACGTCACGGAGAAGACGATCTGCACCAGGTACCTGCGCACCTGCAAAGGACAAAGATCCCCCGTGTAGCCTTCATTAGACTGTTGGGGCAAGTGTAGTTAATGAGAAACCTAAGAAAGCTGGCACGTCGCATGAGGGGGGTGGGTGGCCAGCACCACGCCCGGCCGCCTTTGTTTCCGCAGTGCCGATGTTTACACACTGCACCAGGTACTCATTTCAGGCTGAGTCGATCTAGCGGAGGGTCAGGACTGGTTCAGAAATCGAATTCGGGTCACCGGGTTCGTAGCGCAGCGTGCTAACCGCTGCGCCACCGCTCCGCACCTACACACAAAGAGAAAGATCCCCTATGTACCCTTTAACAGGGTTCTGGGGCAAGTCGTCTAAGCAAGCACCGATGCACACACCCATATACACACACACACGTGTGCTGTGAGTGGGTATGTCTGTGTGTGTTATGGCATGATAGGCTAAAGGAGAGAATGTACACAAGAGAACAATCACCGTGGAGATGGAACGGTAAGTTCACACGCAAGAGATGGACTGTGGTGGCGCAGAACCGTAAGAGATGTCGATAGCATGCAGAGGACTTCACCTAGCAGTGTATATATCATGGCTCATTATGATGTAGAGCAGTGGTTCTTCAACTATGTTGGCTACTTGCACTCCTTGTTGAATGTTGTTTCAACCAACTATCCCCTTGCCTGACCCAACATAGTTCTGGGAAATAAATGTACGAATAGTGAACGCCAATAACGTAAGCATATTAAGCACAATGAATGTGACAGTCGAAGGCACATTTATAAATCACCCATGTAACCCCATGGGACATTGCCATGTACACTCCAGGGGTTCATGTAACCCCGGTTGAGAACCACTGATGCAGAGCGTGGTGTTCATGAACGTCCGTGTGTGTTGGCGTCTGTGTGGGAGTATACTTGTGCATATACTTTGGGTCTATCGGTAAAGTCACGTAGATAGGTTCAAAGAAAATAACAAAAAACTACTATGTTTCGATCGCAACACAAGCGGTGGTGGCGTCCCATCGGCACACACTATCTTTGTCACGTGGCCAGTCATACGAAAATACACAGTCCCCGGGTGACGGATGGGTTAGGTTCCTGAGAAAGATCCGTAACACCGAATTTTCCGCACGCCGGAAACTGAACAATTTCCCCCCAAAATCAAAATAAAATCCCAGAGCCGGAAATAGTTGTGAATGACGAAAGGACTTAATTGCTTGATGACAGGAATTAGATCATCGGGGTCAACAACAGCAGTCATAAGATAATTGGTTTTTTACCCTTTTATCTGGCAACAAAACTGACACCTTTTTTACAAGGAGTCATGTTTGCATAGACCACAATATCTGCAGTCATAATGCAAACAAAAAACATAACTCTGATGTATCCACTGTCCTTGAAGTTGATTGTCCCACACTCGAGACAGCTTTTGTTGCCAGATAAAAGGGTAAAAAACCAATTATCATATTTTTTACTGGCAAATGAGGTTCCAATGGAGCAGTCATAAGCTCTAAAGGCAGGGCTGCAGAGGGAGCTGCAGCCCTGCCTTTAAACCTCCTCGCTCCGCGGTCTTTATCCGCAACCTCACCGCGACCTAACGCAAACATTTCCGCATGTTGACATTTTTTAAAACACGATTCATGGGAGCATTTCCAAAAGGTCGGATTTCCGTACGTCGGGTCTACCGCAACCCCGGTGTCTGTCGATTTCCAATGACCGAAATTCCAGATCACTCATCCGAAGCAAACAGACCACCAGGAAGCAGGCCAAGGCCTCAGATTGGCACAGAGTGGCCTCCAGGGTGATTGGTCGGGAGGCAAGACTGAAGGCGATCGGAAGGGAGATTTGAACGGAAAAGAAACAAAGGTGGATTGTAAAAACGACGGTTGACGACCGCTGGGGTGAAGAACCAGGGGTGGGGCGAGAGAAGGAATCCACAACATTTACAATTTGAGTAGCGTGACGTTTCGCTGGTAATAACATCCAGCATCATTGGGCAATATGCTAGAATAGTGGCAAATCGACCAGAATAGTGGCAATTCGCCCGATGATGCTGGATGTAATTACCAGCGAAACGTCACGGGTACTCAAATTGTAAATGTTGTGGATTTACTGTTCGACACACCGGTGGGCTGAAGTAGTAACTAATTGACGCGTTGTTTATGTGACAAACCTTACTGGCTGTGTCGTATGGTGAATGGTTACGACACATTTATACTTATGCGCTCGAACCCAGAAACCTTTATTATGAATAATATTGGTCACGAGAGCCGATGTGTTAAACTGGGTGAGTGAAGTTTTGTGCCCACGCCTGTATGCGTATCAAACCTCGTAGTCCTTAAAGAGCTGCCTCATGAAAAACAGCCATCCGAATCCAAAAAATATGATCTGAAACACAAAATACACGCGACACCAAACAACGCAATCAGCTTTTTTTTAGAGCTCATGTTTTCAGTTGGTATTTTTGTTCCAAATGTCACCATCATCACCGTCACCATCATCATCGCAACAACCAATATCATCATCACCATCATCATCATCGGCACGTTCATCAACACGATTATCATAACCATCAGAATCATTACTTAATAAACATCATAAAAATCATCGGCATTACCATCATGTATGTATGTATGTTGAACTTCTTTCGTACCGTATGTAGCCAACCGTGCCATCGGAGGCGCGGTCATTCATTATGATCGTCATCATGATCAGATCAGAATCAGAATATTTATACTGGTAGGAACCTCCTGGTTCCACCAGCCCACAGGGGATTATTGTGTCTGTCCGTCCGTCGTGCATCCAAAAATGGGAGGGGTGGGGCTGGGTGGAGAGGGAAGGGTGGGGAGGGAGGGGATGGGCTGGGTGGGGAGGGTGGGGAGGGGCTGGGTGGGGCTGGGTGGGGATGGGCTGGGTGGGGAGGGTGGGAGGGGTGTGGCTGGGTGGGGAGGGGCTGGTCACCCCGTGGTGCCCTTATAAAACTCAACCTTTAACCTACTCACACCGGCTTGTGCCCGCCCTCACAGTCGGGTATATTTGCGGAATACACCACGCCGCCGTTGACCCTGGCCATTGACCGAGCAACCCAATGTTCCTACCAGCTCCCTCCGCAGGAATGTGTTTTATACTACAGGAGGAATCTGATGAGCCATGAAGCTTTTTACTCACAGATGTCCGTGAGGGGCATGGGGTAAGAACGCTACAGCACAATACAAAAACACGATTGCAGTGCAAAGTACAAGGTATGCAAATCACCCAACAGACATACCAGGCGAAGTCCACTTAGGCATTAACTTATTTTTCAGAAGCACCCTGGCCACAAATGATAGCCACTCAACACGGTGGCCTCAACATAATGAATGACAGCGGTCACGCAATAGATGTCCTGACCCCCGGCCATAGAAACTGGGAATTTCCACCCCTGGCTGAGGTTCACCAAAAGAGACAAATACTAAACCCGAGGGAGACAGTCTTAATCTATTTACGACGTCCTTCTCATCAATCATTACACGTATTATAACTAGCGTGTGTGCTATAAATGAGAATCAGAATATCTATTTATACAGGGGAAATCCGATCAGCTACAAAGCTCTTTTTCACAGATATCCTGCAGGGACACGGGGTCAGAAAGTGACATTAACAACGATTGGAGTGCAAAGTATAGTGAAAGTAAACACACCACTTAAAGTATATAGATATAGACATTTTATTACATTTATTTTTTCTTACCTGGTAAGGCCAAATTATCTATTATGAGCATATTATGAGATAGTGGGTGGAGGGTTTTTAGGATAATGTTGGCAGAACACGACGTAGACAACACAATACAGATCACAGGACTTACACACCACCATTAGTTATATTATAACGATAAGTTATATCATAATAAGTTATATTACTCCGAATGCAGTGTTGTAGAATTGCATGCTACGTCCTGAACACACCACAATGAAGACACGGCCACCGCCTTATACGTAAGATGCATCACATGAAGTGCATTTATTTGAAACGGGACTTTTATTACGACAAGAAGATTGCGAAAAGTATAAACGGCGAACATTACTCCAACATTATGGACAATCTTCTTGGTTCTTTCGGTAAAGCTGATATATACGCTCCAAGCCTGGCAGTGTCTCATTCTTCACCTGAAGACGGCTGCTTGCGTTGTGGCCGAAACGTCGTGAGAATTATTTTATTGGTTTATTACTTTATTATTTCCCTTCTACGTGACTTTACCGAAAGAACCAAGAAGATGAATCCCTGCTGCAGTCACGAAAGAAGCTTTACATCGAAATTATGGACAATGTTATGCACAGGCCGCACTGTACGGCAGTTTTACCTGTGACGAAAACATGATGAGCGAATCTGTAAAAAACGACATTTTCGCAACTTGTAAACGAGCCTACAACCTGAGAAATGAACTTTAAACTGTAACGCGACTCGATCGCGTTAAAAAAAATGCGTTTTGGTCAATTTAACGCCACACTCGCGCGTACTGTACTACGTGTCAAACATACTCTACTGTGCGCGAGTGACGTGTATAGAATCGACTAATTAACCGAAACAAACCTCGCGCTATCGATTCCCCATGCCAATTTAACGTTAGTGGGAATCGAGATTGGAATCGAATAAAATCGCGAGTTCGTTCATTGGCAATGAAGAATCGTGGCTTGCGTAATCGATGTACCGACTTCTCGATTCCGCTTATCCCCATGCATTCTAATTTTAAGAGTGAAAATTGAAGTTGAATGACACGAAAAAATTGCGTTTATTCTTGAATAAAATACTTATTCACTCTTTTGGAATACAATTGTATCCGAGTACAAAGGAGAGACCCAGGACCGGTTGAATCATTACTCGCCACCGATCTCAGCCCAACAAAAATAGTAACATCACACATTTGCGTTCATTTGTAAATAAAGCATTTATTTCAAATGCGTGGCATACACATACACGTGTGTGTGTGTGAATGTAATATAGGTGTGTTGCATACACACAAACACATTTGGTTCAAGTTACAGTATGTTTTACCCAAACGTAAAAAATCAGAATTGGTCAAACATCTCAATGTAGGGGCACCTACCCGAAAATCTGAATATTTATTTCCACTGCAGACATCCGATGAACTATAATGCAGCTCTTTTTCACAGATGTCCTGCCGGTGGGGCCAGGCTCCCCAGATGTAGATTCTCATAATTAACAAAAAAAACATTTTTTTCTGGCCTGGACTTTTGCAGCTGTTTTAGACTAATTTCAGGGTGCTGATTCAAAATGTGATCTCAGATTTGCTCTATCACATCTAAATTTTATGCTATCGGCATACCCCATTTTCATTGATTTTACCCGAAATTAACTCCGTCACTTATGATTGCAAGTTGTTGCGAGTCAGTGACTGCTTTAGTGTTAAAATATGGTGCTGTATTTTAGGATAGAGTGTTTATATCATTTTATGTAGATATCCACATTTATTTAATATTTTTCTTCTGCAGTTTTGATTGAAAATGCAATATTTGATATCTCAAAAACCTGATGTGATAGACAAAAACTGATGCCAGATTTGGAATCAGCACCCCAAAATTACCTTAAACCCGTTGGAATACCTTATGCCAGAAAAAGTGTGTTGACCAGTGTTATTATCTATTCACACGCATCAATCATGGCCTATGGCGAAATTACCTGGGGAACTTTCCCCATGAAAGTCAGAACTGAGCAGCTAAGCAGGAGGCGAGCCTGGAGAGTGGTGCTTGTATGGGCCTTGACCAGCGTGGTGAAGTATGGTCAAATAATGGCCACGACCCGCAACGGTGTGCGGCGAGGCGTTCATCCCACCAGATTTTGCCGCACCTCCAATTATGACGGTTGGCTGCGTACGGTTGCGAAACAAGTTCAATGTACATGCATCATAAACAACACAGTGATGCCAATATGTTACCGTGCATTCTCTACTCTGGGAGATAATGGCATCCGTTGACGAACGAATTGCTACCGGCGCACTACGGTCATCCTTTCAGGGGTCATACATTTAGAGCAATTTGGTGACAAGTCAAGGCGCAGTAATAGCCGTCTGTTGTTGTCGTTGTACAGGCCTAAAGGATTTGCGTGGGTAAAATTTAGTTCGAAGTTGACGTAGCTCGAGGAATCGTTTACAGGCCGCAGGTTGGGAGTGACGACGCAGATTTAATGGCGCCACGGTGGCTAAGAGATGTTAACTCCCTCGCCTGGTGTACAGGAGGTCGTGGGTTCGATCCCAACTCTGACGCCTGCTGCTGTATATTTGGAGTGGTCGCGAGGATTTTTCTCCGGGCCCTCGGGTTTTCCACTCCACATTTAGAATCAACGGCACGCGTTTTAGGGTAATTAGCTGCTATAAATTTCCACTTCGTTGGCGCTATCATATGTGGCCAGGTCGCTTCTGAAAAAGAGCTACAGAGCTCAGTGGGCCTTACCTGATAAAACAAAAATAGTTAAGTGGTTTCCACACGAGGTTTTTGGGTTAGATCGCGTAAACATAAATGTGTCGTTAAACCAGCCACCACCCAACACAGCCAATCAGTAAGATGTGTCACGAACACAAAACATGCCAATTCGTTATGTATACGTGACAAACCTTATTAATTGGCTGCGTTGGGTGGCGGCAGGTTGAACGACACATTTATATTTGCGCGATCTAACACAAAAACTCTATGTTGGATATTTCTCGTAAACTCCTCCTACTACGTGCTACACCGAGTTAAGTGTTTTGTTTACTTAGTTGCAACGCAACAAGAACCTGGCGCCAGGCATAAACCTCGACAAGGCGAAAGGGGTTGGGGGGGTACAGAAACTCCGCGGACTAAATCCCCGACTCGGCACTCCTGGGTCCAACGATGGATGGTGGGTGGGGGGACAAAAATTGGGCTCACTGCCCCACACACAAACACACACGCAGTGGTCACTACGAGCAGGAGTTTCGGTGTTTGTTTTATATATACGGAGGAGGGGGGAACAACAGGGGAGGAGGCACAAGGGTGGGGTGGTAGAGCGGTAGAGATCGTCGTCGGGAACAGTCCCGCGTGGAAGCCAACTCCCGTCTATCCCCTGAAGGGGGGTGGGGGAGGTGATATCCCAGTTGCCCGTCTCCTCCCTCGCCTCCCCCACCACCCACCCCGACCTCGTCACCCACACGTGCACAATCTCACGATGAGCTGCTCCGTGGGCGGATTGAAGTGTTTTTTTTATTGGGTCGCGAACTCGTTTTTAAGGGAGATGTGAACCGTCGACTCGGAGCTGCGGGTTCTCATGCAGCAGCAGTCGTCGTGGTGGTCGTGGTGGTCGTGGCAGCAGTCGAGGGCTCCGCAGACGAGGGCTCCGCTGGTGAGGAAGCGACGGCGACTTCTTCAGCTTCCTTCCTGTCCTCCGTCACCTTCGACAGAAATTTTTTTTGTTAACAAAAAATTTGGGCGCGATATTTTTTTAAAGCGTTGGCATTCGCGCGATAATCTCGATTGAAAACCCGCTTCTTTGAAACTGCTTTATGCGTTTGGTTTGTGGTCCTTCCCCACCCCACCACAGTTGGCTACGTGCGGGATTTCAATCTAGACGATTTTAAAGTGCAGCGTAGCTCCCAGTGGTTTTCTAAACTCGGAGGAGAGGTCCCAGACGGCGCGCAGAAGCGCATCTGAAAACGGCACGCAATGCAGTGACCACCCTCTCTGTTCGATGGGCGAGCCAAAAGCCGTTGCTGCTGCGAGGATGACCGGAGTTCACAGGATCAATTGCCAAAACATCCCAACGTAGCAGCAAACAAATTAACCCGTAAAAACTAAGTTTTTCACTATAAATCCTTTATATGCGTCCTCTGGCTTGAGATGGCTGCCACCTATGGGTCAGATGATTGTCTGCCACCATTAAGCAATTGGTAATTAAATATATATATTTTTCCTAAAAAGTGTAACATTTTGGAATTGTCACGTACAACGAGTCTGTGTGCAAAATGTCAGCTCGATTGGATCACGGGAAGTGGGTTAAAAAACGACCGAAAGATTTGCACGGTCGTAAGCGCGCAAGCAAGCAAGCAAGTGAACTTAATATAAAGGATTTAAAAAAAAAGTCTTGCGATTCAGGCTTTCTTTTTGTAAAGGACACAGGGGCCACCCACTCCCCCCCCCCTGTCCTAGCTTCATGTCTCCCTCTCCTAGCGTCCACGCAACTCTCCCCTGCCCCTACCCCCCTCTTGCCCCTCCCCCCTCTCTGACCTATATAACCTCTTACCACGGCATCTCTCTCCCACTTCAGCAAAACATTTTCTTGCTGTGGGTTTCCCACCTGATGATGATTGCTTGTGCTGCGATCAAAACGTCGTGATTTAATTTATTTTATTTTATACCTACGTGACTTTACCGAAAGAACCAAAGAGTATGGATCCCTGCAGTCACAAAAACTTCAAATCTAGATTGGTATGTAACGGTTAGTGCACTGCGCTACGAACCCCATTCAATTCCCGGTCAAGGCCAACACCGGTGGGGGCGTAGTGGCATCCGAAGTTGAATGCGGGAGAGGGAGCCAGAGGGGATAGTTGCATCGCAAGGTCATGAAAGATGGCGACGACGTGGGGGGGCGGGGGGGGGCTTCATCTAGCAGTGGATAGACCATGTCTGACGACGAAGTTGGTGGAATAGTTATTTTGTGACGTACCAGTTTACGAGACCTTGATACGAGACGGCTCCAGAGAACGTGATGGGTCTGTGAACACAAATTAACACATGATGTTGATTGTATAAATGTGGAGGGAAAAACCAGAGGACCCCAAGAAAAATCCACACGACCATGGGGACAGAGAGAGACACACAAACAAACTCCAAATATACAGCAGCAGGCGTCAGGATCGGGATCAAGCCCACGACCTCCTGTATACCAGGCGAGGTAGTTAACATCTCCTAGCCACCGTGATGATGATGAGAGAGAGAGAGACACGCAAACTCCAAATATACAGCAGTAGGCGTCAGGGTCGGGATCAAGCCCACGACCTCCTGTATACCAGGCAAGGTAGTTAACATCTCCTAGCCACCGTGATGCTGATGAGAGAGAGACACGCACACAAACTCCAAATATACCCCAGGCGTCAGGATTGCGATTAAAATCCCACGACCTCCGGTATACCAGGCGAGGTAGTTAACATCTCCTAGCCACCGTGGCGCCCATATTGGCATGAGCCAGCGTGAGCCAGCCAGCTGGTACCCACTTTGAGTGGCCAGGGCAGGGAGACTCCATGGAACCTCCGCAAGCTCCCCACCCGCCCCGGTGCCAACAACAACAACAGCAGCAGTCCGAAAACACACCAAGACAACAACACACGGCCGTGTGGTGTGAGCCAGCAAGCTGGCACCCACCTTGAGTGGCCAGGGCAGGGAGACTCCCTGGAACCTCCGCAAGCTCCCCGCCGGCGCCACCGCGTCAGGCTGCGGTGCTGCCCCGGCCGCCGGGGGGCTGAGCGCGTGGGCGGCAGTGACGTCGTAGTGGAAGCAGAAGCCGGTGCGCGGGATGTGCGGTCCGTCGCTGACTTCCACAAAGTCTCCGAGCCTGGGAATGATGTAAGGAGGGTAGGTCAGGTGGGTGGGTAGGTAGGGTGGGGTAGGGTGGGTAGGGTGGGGTCAGGTGGGTGGGCTCAGGTGGGTAGGTATGGTGGGGTCAGGTTGGTGGGTAGGGTAGGGTGGAGTCGGTTGGGTAGGGGAGGGTAGGGTGGGATCAGGTGGGTGGGTGGGTAGGGTGGGGTCGGGCGGGCGGGTGGGTAGGGTGGGTGGGTGGGGTCGGGCGGGTGGGTGTGTGAGTGGGGTAGGGTGGGTGGGGTGGGGTAGGGTAGTGTGGGTGGGTAGGGTCAGGTGCGTGGTGTGGGTGGCGTGGGGTGGGGTTGTGTGTGGGTCAGTGTGTGGGTGGGTATTGTGTGTGATGGGCACGGGACAGATTTTTTAACGTACACATCGCTAAGTTTCAAAGAAGACTCAACGGTGCGTACGGATGGAGCACACAACCACCACTCTGCACCTGCACATTTGGTCACATTTGCTCACATATCAATATTCATAATTTACAGTTGTAAGGCACATTTCATCCGGAGATCCTGATGCGTCGTGCATGGAAAGCCAGGAAATAAAACAGAACCGGTGACCTCTGGATCCTCACCGTTACCATAACGCATGTAAGGTTGTGCGTATGTTGAACTTCTTTCGCACCGCACGTAGCCAACCGTGCTCATGGGAGGCGCACGATTATCGTGCGCCGTTGGACGTACTTGTAGAGGGTGACTTTCCGCTCCGCGTTCTTCGAGGCTTTCTCTTCGATCGCAGCCACCTTAGGCCTAGAGACGAAACACGCAGACCGTTCATGCTCCGTCAGAAGCGGGCTACATCACGTGAGGGTGGCACCCCGGTTCAGTCACATGCCACAGTGCCCGGCCTACGTCGGTGCTGCTACTCTCTAATGGCACTTGCCCCAACAAGTCTGTTAAGATAATTGTTTTTTTACGCTTTTATCTGCAACAAAACTGACACCTTTTTTTTACAAGGAGTCATGTTTGCATAGACCACAATACCTGCAGTCGGAATGCAAACAAAAAACATAACTCTGATAATGTATGCACTGTCCTTGAAATTGATTGGTCCACACCCAAGACAGCTTTCTTTAGAGTCTAGTCTCACATGGTGTTGGACCAGATGACACCAAAAGGCCAAAAAAAAGGTGTCAGTTTTGTTGCCAGATAAAAGGGTAAAAAAAACAATTATCATATTTTGCTACTGGTAAATGAGGTTCCAATGGTGTTAAAGTCTGTTAAGGGCTATACGGGATGGGGTGGGGGGGGTTCATTGTCTTTATGATGCCGCACCCGCTCTCGCTGAACATGTCGATGGTAACGCTGGTGTTAACTGGGAGTGTGTGTGAGCGGGTAACCATGACACCTCACCCACTGTGTCGATGGTGACACTGGTGTTAACTGGGAGTGTGTGTGAGCGGGTAACCGTGACAACTCACCCGCTGTGTCGATGGTGACGCTGGTGTTAACTGGGAGTGTGTGTGAGCGGGTAACCGTGACAACTCACCCGCTGTGTCGATGGTGACGCTGGTGTTAACTGGGAGTGTGTGTGAGCGGGTAACTGTGACAACTCACCCACTGTGTCGATGGTGACGCTGGTGTTAACGGGGAGTGTGTCTGAGCGGGTAACCATGACAACTCACCCGCTCTCGCTGAACATGTCGAGGGCGACGCTGGCGTCAACGGAGAGGCGCTCGAAGGGCAGGTTCTCCTTGAGGAGCAGGTGGACCTCGCGTGTGATGGAGCGAAGATTATCCTGGAACCGCAAAAATTATCATCGTCGTCGTCGCTTTCATCATAATCCTCGTCTTTATCATCATCATCATCACAATTCTAGTCATCATCATTGTCGTTATCATCATCATCATCAACATCATAATCGTCATCATCAAAATCGTCATCTGCGGTCCTTTACATATGAAGGTGTTAACCGCCAATTAGTGACCGTTAATTAATAGGAGTTTCGCTCCACATGTATCTCTTTTGAAAAAGAGCTATACAGCTCAGCGGGCCTTACCTGGCAAAGTAAAAAAAGTAAAAATATATTTGAGGCATCTCACCTCCGTCGGGACCCAGGCGTCGAGTCTGGCGTCGAGCAGAACGTCGTAGCAGAAGGCTCCGGATATGACTGGGAGACAGGACAAGGGCAGTAGGGCACCACGACATCAGCAGGGCAGGGCAGCAGCAGGGCAGCGCAGCAGCAGGGCACCACGGTGGTAGCAGGGCACCAGGGCAGTGGCGGCGGCGGTGTCAGGATGCAGCCGCAAGCAATCGGCGGGCGCAGAAGGGTCAAAAACGCGTCGGTGAAAATTGTCTTTCAATTCGAACGTTGAAGGTGAATTTAATCGACGTTAAAACTTAACATCTCCCCTACGCCTACAACATTGTTATTATTGTTACTACAAAAGATCATCGGCTTCGGGGGTGCCGGATTTTCAAGAACGCCGGATACTCGCTAATCATCATTTTTTTTTTATTTATCCCGTAGAAATCCGATCAGCTATAAAGCTCTTTTTCACAGATGTCAAGTATCAGAATCTTTATTTAGACGAAAGGAATCCAGTAGGGGCGAGTCAAAAAGTTACAACACCAAACAATACAAACAACTCATATGATGCTGGATGCAATTACCAGCGAAACGTCGTACTCAAATTGTAAATGTTTTGGTTTCACGCTTCAACACACCAGTGGGCTAAAGCAGTGAACTATTTGTCTTTTGTCAACGTGACACTTTTTTACTGATTGGCCGTGTCGGGTGGTGGAGGGTTACGACACATTTATAAATAACGCGATCTAAACCCAAAAACGTTGATTATGAATAATATTGGTCGCGAAAGCCTACGTGTTAAATACAAACAACGATCGCAGTGCAAGGTATAGGACAAGAAAGCATCCAGCAGAGGACTGAGCGTGGCTATCAGAATTACTGCTGCCATGGCAGTACTTCGAATGACTCAAAAGTTACTGAAAGGAACAGCGCTCACGGCGCTTGGATCTGGAGTGGAACCTCACCTGGAACCTCGGGAGAGCCGATCAGCTCAATGGGGAACTCCTCCTTGAAGGATTTGCTGAGGGCCGAGCCCAGCATGAGGGCACAGGAGCGCCAGTAGGCCTGCGCAGGCACGCAACGGGCCGGGCGAGGGAGCGCGCACGCGACACAGTCAAACACGTGGCCACACAGACAACAGAAAGGCAACGGATAATTCAAAATCGCGGATAATCCAAAAATATAACAATTTTCCATGCACCTCTATGCCAGAAATCACTAACATGGGTATAGGTTGTGTTTATGTTAATAAAATTTAGTTTGTTAGTGAACAACTCGAGATTTGGGTATCGAACTCACAGACTCGGTGGTGGATGACCTATTCGTTTATTTGCATCTTCGAGTAGCAGTTGGCTAGGTACTGTGCGAAAGAAGTTCAACATACATACATGATGGTAATGCCGATGATTTATGATGTTGATTACAGTAATGATTCTGATGGTTATGATAACAGTGTTGATTAACGTGCCGATGATGATGATGATGGTAATGATGATATTGGTTGTCACGATGATGATGGTGACGGCGATGATGGTGACATTTGGAACGAAAATACCAACTGGCGTGCAAAGTTCCATCACGCGAGCCCCGCACGCGTTGCCTTTGTGGCCAGCACCACTTGAAGAGACAAGAGCTGACTGGGTGCGGCGTTAAAAATCACAAAACTGCGCCGTTGCCGCCAGGCAGGAAGCATTCGCCCCTCCGTTGCCCGACTAGCGCGGCGAAGAACGCTCGCACAGTGGCGGACGGATCTCATCGTCTGTGGGCCGTTTGAACTTCTTTTGCACCAACCGTACGTAGCCAACCGTGCTAATTGGAGTTGCGGGAAATCGGAGGTTTGGTAGCGGTGGCGGTCGGACCTCCGATCGCCACCGGAATAGGCGGGGGGGCCGGAGTAGGTTCCACCACCCCGATACTTTCGAACGAAAGGGGAGCGAGCAGGAGGGGGAGGAGTTCTTGGCAGGGGAGCGCGGCAGCATGGGACAGACCTCGTTGACGGGAGTGGCGTCCACGTCTTTGAAGGTGAGGAAGGTGATGGGCCCGCCACGCTCCAGCGGGCGGTACATGTCGTAGAGCTCGCCGTCGATGCTCGCGAGCACGGAGCGCGTCTGGAACCACTCGCTCAGATCTGGAGGGTGCCGGGGGAAGGCGGGCGGGGGGGGGGGAAGGTAGCCGGGGGGAAGGCGTGCGGCAGAGTGTAAGGCAGAGGTCGCAAACGGGTTTTGATTCCTTACCCGTACCCGTACCCGGCCGTACCCGTACCCTACCCGATACCCGACCGGGTATCGGGTAGGGTAGGGTACGGGTACCCGATTGCGACCTCTGGGATGAAGCCATGTTGCAGGCGCGGGTGGGTTGATTCTAGGAACTTGAATTGTGAGAAGAAAAAAGACGTTGGGAAATGAGAGACAAACGGTTACTCATCAGTGACTCACGGCCTACCCGTACCCGGTCGCACCAGGGTCGCAAACGGGTACCCATACCCGGCCGGGTACGGGTAGCCGGGTATCGGGTAGGGTACGGGTATCGGGTACCCAATTGCGACCTCTGGTGTAAGGTCGTGTCGGCCGAGGTCGAGATGCCGCCAGGGCCGAAGCAATCGACGCAAAGGCAACCTCTCGCGCCTCCTATTAGCGCGGTTGGCTACGTCCCGCGCGAGAAAAGTATCACATGCACACACGCGTAGGAGGAACTTAATAGCGTCGAGCGTGCAAGCCACGTGCGGCTCCAATCGATCCTCACGCTGGGCGCAGTTGTAGGGCGTGGAGAGGCCGCGATTCATGACGAGGGTGGCCCCGCGCTGCCCGGGCCCCATGTGCTTCAGCTCCACCTTCTCGATGCGCATCAGCAGCTCCAGCTGCCGCCGCCGCTCGGCCTCGAAGAGCGCCACGCGGCGGGCCGCGGTGGCCACGGAGGCCGCGGCCACGCACGGCGCCGCAGACACGGCCGTGGAGAGCAGCCCTGGGACGGCGACAAGGGACAACATCCGATTAGCACGGTTGGCTACGTCCGGTGCGAGAAAAGTTCAACATACATACACACAACGCTCCCCATAGACTGAGCACTGCACATCGACTCAGCACTGCACACACACAAAGTTCCCCATAGACTCAGCACTGCACCGTAGACTCAACCGTGCACCGTAGACTCAACACGGAACCATAGACTCAACACTGAACCATAGACTCAACACTGCACCATAGACTCAATACTGAACCATAGACTCATCACTGCACCATAGACTCAACACTGCACCATAGACTCATCACTGCACCATAGACTCAATACTGAACCATAGACTCATCACTGCCCCATAGACTCAACACTGCACCATAGACTCAACACTGCACCATAGACTCAACACTGCACCATAGACTCATCACTGCACCATAGACTAATCACTGCACCATAGACTCATCACTGCACCATAGACTCATCACTGCACCATAGACTCGTCACTGCACCATAGACTCATCACTGCACCATAGACTCAACACTGCACCATAGACTCAATACTGAACCATAGACTCATCACTGCACCATAGACTCAACACTGAACCATAGACTCAACACTGCACCATAGACTCATCACTGCACCATAGACTCAACACTGCACCATAGACTCAACACTGCACCATAGACTCAACACTGCACCAAAGACTCATCACTGCACCATAGACTCAACACTGCACCATAGACTAATCACTGCACCATAGACTCATCACTGCACCATAGACTCATCACTGCACCATAGACTCGTCACTGCACCATAGACTCATCACTGCACCATAGACTCAACACTGCACCATAGACTCAATACTAAACCATAGACTCATCACTGCACCATAGACTCAACACTGAACCATAGACTCAACACTGCACCATAGACTCATCACTGCACCATAGACTCATCACTGCACCATAGACTCAACACTGCACCATAGACTCATCACTGCACCATAGACTCATCACTGCACCATAGACTCAACACTGCACCATAGACTCAGCACTGCACCAAAGACTCATCACTGCACCATAGACTCAACACTGCACCATAGACTCAACACTGCACCATAGACTCAACACTGCACCATAGACTCAGCACTGCACCAAAGACTCATCACTGCACCATAGACTCAACACTGCACCATAGACTCAGCACTGCACCATAGACTCAACACTGCACCATAGACTCAGCACTGCACCATAGACTCAACACTGCACCATAGACTCAGCACTGCACCAAAAACTCAACACTGCACCATAGACTCAGCACTGCACCATAGACTCAACACTGCACCATAGACTCAACACTGCACCATAGACTCAACACTGCACCATAGACTCAACACTGCACCATAGACTTAACACTGCATCATAGACTCAACACTGCACCATAGACTCATCACTGCACCATAGACTCATCACTGCACCATAGACTCAAAACTGCACCATAGACTCAGCACTGCACCAAAGACTCATCACTGCACCATAGACTCAACACTGAACCATAGACTCATCACTGCCCCATAGACTCAACACTGCACCATAGACTCAACACTGCACCATAGACTCAACACTGCACCATAGACTCATCACTGCACCATAGACTAATCACTGCACCATAGACTCATCACTGCACCATAGACTCATCACTGCACCATAGACTCGTCACTGCACCATAGACTCATCACTGCACCATAGACTCAACACTGCACCATAGACTCAATACTGAACCATAGACTCATCACTGCACCATAGACTCAACACTGAACCATAGACTCAACACTGCACCATAGACTCATCACTGCACCATAGACTCAACACTGCACCATAGACTCAACACTGCACCATAGACTCAACACTGCACCATAGACTCAGCACTGCACCAAAGACTCATCACTGCACCATAGACTCAACACTGCACCATAGACTCAGCACTGCACCATAGACTCAACACTGCACCATAGACTCAGCACTGCACCATAGACTCAACACTGCACCATAGACTCAGCACTGCACCATAGACTCAACACTGCACCATAGACTCAGCACTGCACCATAGACTCAACACTGCACCATAGACTCAACACTGCACCATAGACTCAACACTGCACCATAGACTCAGCACTGCACCAAAGACTCATCACTGCACCATAGACTCAGCACTGCACCATAGACTCAACACTGAACCATAGACTCATCACTGAACCATAGACTCATCACAGTCACGTAGAAGGGAAATAATAAAATAATAAAAATAAAACATAATAAAACAATTCTCACGACGTTTCGGCCACAACGCAAGCAGCCGTCCTCAGGTGAAAACCAGGTCTGTCGAGGCGACAGAGTCTGAATGAACGAAACGTCGTGAGAATTATTTTATTGTTTTATTTTTATTATTTTATTATTTCCCTTCTACGTGACTTTACCGAAAGAACCAAGAAGATGAATCGCTGCAGTCACGAAAGCTTTAAATCGAAATTTAATTATTCAATAAAAAATATATGATATAAAACTCACGTTTGGTGACGATGCGAGGAATCGCCGAGGCCATGGCGAGGCGGAGCGATGTGGAATTTAAGCGAAATAAAAACTAAACCCTACACAAAATAAAGACTTTTAAAGTTTAAAATGTTACCAAGTGACAGCCCAAGACTCGACACATGTGAGGACAGTGCGCGCACTGTACCAAGGTCACTACGGCGGCCGCGGCGGTCGAAAATAAAAAAAACGCGTTTTAAAAATAGTTTACGATTTTATGTACAGTATAATTTGTTTTTGTATTCTTGCTTCTTTTGGTAAGTCACGTAGAAAAATAAGAATAAAATAAAATATATAAATAATAAGCTGAAATAATAAACGCAAAAAGCACAATACAAAATAAAATAGTACAAATAAAATAAAATAAATCAATTGAAAATAATAAAAACAATAAACCCACGACGTTTCGATCGCAACACAAACAGTCTTCATCAGGCGGAGAGAAAAATATAATTTGTGTTTTTAATTCACGTTTTACAAATGCAATGTACACATTGTACACGGTGTATACAGCCACCCACCCACTCACTCATCCAGCCACTCACCCACTCGCCCAGCCACCCACTCACTCACCACTCACTCACCCAGCCACCCACTCACTCACCACTCACTCACCCAGCCACCCACCCACTCACTCACCAAGCCACTCACCCAGCCACCCACTCACTCAGCCACCCAACCACTCACTCACTCATCCAGCCACTCACTCACCCAGCCACCCACTCACTCACCACTCACTCACCCAGCCACCCACTCACTCACCCAGCCACTCACCCACTCGCCCAGCCACCCACTCACTCACCACTCACTCACCCAGCCAGCCACCCACTCACTCACCAAGCCACTCACCCAGCCACCCCACTCACTCATCCAGCCACTCACTCGCCCACCCAGCCACCCACTCACCCAGCCACTCACTAACTCACCTAGCCACTCATCCATTCGCCCAGCCACCCACTCACTCACCCAGCCACCCACTCACCCACCTAGCCACTCACCCACTCGCCCAGCCACCCACTCACTCACCCAGCCACCCACTCACTCACCCAGCCACCCACTCACCCACCCACTCACTAAGCCACCCACTCACCAAACCACCCACTGACTCACCCACCCACCAGGGCCATATTATCCAGTAGGTCACAGGAGGCACTGTGCCTAGGGGCCAAAGAAAACTGAAAGGGCCTACGAAAACAAATTGACCCATGTTTTGTTTGTTTGTATGTATGATTAAAACAATTTAACCAAGATATCTTCTTGAATAAATATTTTTATATAGCAAGGATAGGCACAGTTGTGATACGTTACAGTGTCATGTCGATCTTTTTCTTTTCACAAGGTGAGAGAAATTAACACCGGAGATGAAATTCGCGAGATTTTTCATTGCAAAAATTAGCAAACAACATCTTCAAATTGTGTTTTTTTTTTCTCACAATGTCAGCAGTGCAAGGGAAGACAATCGGCGTTGTCCTACGGTTGATCGGAGACAGTGCTAACTGTAGAAAGTTATCACTGAAGGCCTACGAAACAGATGTCCCTAGGGCCGACACGAGCCTTAATCAGGGCCCTGCCCCACTGCTGCCCACCAAATAAAGTGCTTGGTAGACTTCAGCTCGTTCAAAATGCCGCTGCTCGAACGCTTTACGCAAACACCATCTCATACCTGTCAACCCCTTATCAGTGCCCTACCTTATTACACACCAATTCAGACCTTATTACACACCCCGTGCCCGTATAAATATCAACGTCCATCCTACAAAATCCCATCACAAACGGCTATACGCTGTAAGGACCTGAAAACTGAATTACCCTGTACAAGAATACGGGGTAAACCGTATAGGTTGACAAGTATGACACACCCACCCACCCACTCACACACTCACTCAACCACTCACCCACTCACTCACCCATACACACACACATCCACACACTCACTCAACCACTCACCCACACCCACCCACTCACTCACCCACACACTCACACACCCACTCCACCTGTTATGCCTCACGGCAGGAGTTTTGTGTATGTACACAGGAATTTCCTGTTTTTGATGCTGGTTTTGGTCACGTGACCAGGAAGTTGCGAATTAAGATTCCCGCTTAACCACGTGGGCGTCGGCCATTACGCACATAATTCAAGATGGCGGCACACATCGTGTCCCAGTGAAGCCAGCCGTAGTTGGCCGTCGTGGGACTTTGAGAAGCATTGTCTGTAAGTTTGTTTATGTTCTTATAATATTGGCAATGCTGTTGTAATGTTGGAATGACCGTTATAGTGATGTAAATGCCTTTATGGTGCTGTTAAGTTGTTGTGGTAAATACGAGGCCTAGTTAGCAATGAAGCCTGCAACTTTCCTTATTGTGGATGTTACTTGTGATTTAGTAGGTCGAGTCAGACTTGTGCCCAGGTGGCTATGTGCGATCCTGAGAGCAAAGATGACGAAGTATCTCATCCACAGTTTAGTGTTATGTGCAATGCACGATGTGCCTTTATGCAACGCAGCGGCTTGTGCTCTTGTGTAGTTGTTCAGTGGTAGTGTGGGGGCCTGGTCCATCCAGTGTCTATTGCTGGGAAACATGTTATCTGGGACAATGTTCTGGTACTGTGGTGTTCATTGTGTTGGTGTTTCTGGGTTATAACAGATGCTGTATCTGTGTTTTCTCACCAGTTTTACCTCGTTAAACTCAATAAATGACGTTTGGAGTCGGACGTTCATCCTGTCTCCAAGGGTTTATTGAACGCGAGGTTAACTACTCAGCTAGCGGTGCAACGTTGCGCACAGCGAGGCCGAGACACTACCACTCACCCACACCACCCACCCACTCACTCACCCACACACTCACACACCCACACACTCACACACCCACACACTCACCCCTTATCAGTGCCCTACCTTATTACAGACCAAATCAGACCTTATTGGTCACCCCGTGCCCCTATAGATCTCAACGTGTATCCGATACACTACACTATACACTAGTATTAACTACACTATACACTACACTACTACATACCTGTCCACTCAACGTTCATCCTACAAAGTCCCATCACAAGGGAGAAACACAAATAGACAAAATAAATTTCGCCCGTTTTGAATCGACTACACGCTGATTGGACCTAAAAAGATATTTCCCTGTACAAGAAGAAGGTAAAGCGTATGGGTTGACGGCTATGCCATTTATTGAGCACATCACACCCACTCTATTGTCCCGTGCATTGGCTCCCAATCAAATATCGAATTGATAATAAGGTTCCTGCTATTGGCTTACAAGGTTGTCACAATGGGTTACTTAACAGGAACTGATCACACTTATATACCACCACCAATGAGGTCCTTAAGATAGGGCTGGATTAAGGTCCTTGTAGGTTCTAGGCACTTCTGTTTCGTAGGCCTTCAGTAATAACATTCATTGTACTGGTACTGCCCATGTTACAACCGCCGCTGTCACTCGATTGTCTCACGCGTAGACGTCGTTACTGCTGATACGTTCATTGTTTTTTTAGTCTGTGCCCTCATTCGATGGGATGGCGCTGTGTGCCGCAGACAAGCAGATTTAATTTGAAATTATTGAATAAAAATAAGGCAAGCTTAAAAATCTAAGCGGAAATTTCTTAAACTTTTTTTTACAATGATTATCATATGGGATGACGCAGCTTTAAAAGGATGCCGTTCATTTTCATCGATAACAAATTCAGTGTTTTCACAGGACGACCACGTGGTGAGCGCCATGTTGTTTTACTTTCATTTAAGCTTAGAGATTTGTTCGACTGTTATTTTAGGTGCAATATGCCTCGCTTACACTGAGTCAATGACTTGTTACCACTGCAAAGAAATTGCAACGAGCAGCCATGTAAATATATTGATTCAAGAAGATATCTTGGTTACATTTTATTTTATCATACAACCAAAAAAACATGGGTCCATTTTTTTAGTAGGTCTTAAGCACCGTGCCGACTGTGGCCTATTGGATATAAATACAGCCCTGCCTTGAGGTCTTCCGATCTCCCTCTTCTTAGTATTCCGAGGTCAAGGCTCTGTTCCCTGGGGGCGATCGCGCTTTTGCCAGTGTAGCTCCAAGACTATGGAACGCGTTGGCCTCTGGCAATAAGACAACGAGAATATTTAGAGCTATTTCAAGCAAGCCCTGAAAATTCACCTCTTTACGCTGGCTGGCTCTGACTAATTTCTTCCTTTCCATACACGGTGGCACATTGGGATCCTTGGATGAAACGCAAATATAAATTATTATTATAAACATACGCTTTGGTTCTTTCAGTAAAGTCACGTAGGTATAAAATAAATCACGACGTTTCGGGCGCAACACAAGTGCCCGTCACGTGTGTCGCGCCCGAAACGTCGTGATTTAATTTAAGTTATACCTACGTGACTTTACCGAAATAACCAAAGAGTATGGATCCCTGCAGTCACGAAAACTTCCAATCTAGATATTATAAAGACAAAGATCCCCCCGTATAACCTGTAATAGGCTGTTGGGATAAGTGCCGTTAGCAAGTGGCACCGCTCCCCCCGCACACAAACAACTGTTAATCACATAAATCGATTTTAAAAAAGTGAACATTTGAAAATGAATTTCATTATTTTTTTTATTTCAAGCATCGTACGACTTCCGTATCTTGCCGTGGTGCATTTTACGTGAAAAAATCGTCACCCTATGATTTAAAGTGAATTACAAAATTTGACAGGTATTTACAGTAGAAATTTCGTATCTTTTTTAATTAGATATCATACATCCGCGTTGAGTTTATTCCGCTGTCATCAAATAAATTCATGAAAGAAAAAACATCTGATTCTTCACACTAAAATACAATCAGGCAATTAAAACGCACCTTGTGTGTGTAATCCGATGTAAATTGTTACATTACATAAATCTGGTCCCAAAGACAGTGATCCCCCGTGTACCCTTAACTGACTGTTCGAGGCAAGTGCTGTTAGCGAGTGGCACCTATGAAGGCCGGCACTGTGGCACACGAGGGAGTTGCGGTGTCAAGATCGGCCTCTGTGGAGGAGGAAGCTCGTGAAGAACACTACTACTGGACAGTCAGAGGCAAAGCGCCCTCCAGCAACGGAGGGGCAGAGGAGCGACGCTCACAACAACAAGCAGCAGCAGCGGGCAGATAAAACGCAGAGAGTTGGCACAGTCTGGGGGGAGCACAGGCGGTGGTGCCATCTGCCAGTCATCTCGATCAAGAAATCCACATCACTGGGCCCCAATACCCATGACCTCCTCGTGGCCTTCAAAGTGCAGCTAGCCTGTCACAAGTGCCACGGTGCCATCATAATTTTTTTCTCCGAGTGGGAAGCAGTGGGTGCGCTTTGCGCCGTGATCCGAATGATCCGAAGTTCTATTTGCAGTCGTGGATAATAACATCAGTGCCAATGCCAGCCCCAGCTTGTACTGAGGACCTGTCAAGCAGAGCTTAATAATAATAATATATTCGATGTATATAGTGCCCCCCATCAATGATTTAAAAACTCTGTTCAGGACACAGAGATGTGGACACGCGGCATAAAAATACTCCCGAAAACTAAAAACACTTAACACAATGAATGCTCAGGGCAATTTTTCAAAGACATGTTTTAAAAATGTCCATGGACTAAATGAGATCCTGAAATCTCATGGGGAACGAGTTCCAGAGTTTGGGAGAAAAAAAAAATCTCAGTCACTCATCGACGTAAGCCTTCATGACCTAAGATCTAAGGCTTAAATAAAAAATAAAACTACTTCCTATTTTTCCAGGTAAGGCCCACTGAGTTCTGTAGCTCTTTTTCAGAAGCCCAATGAAGTGGCTCATCACGTGGAAATTTATTGCAGCCAAATACTCTGAACGCATGATGTTGATTCGAAATTTGAGGGTGGGGGGGGGGCGTAGGACCCGGAGAAAAACACGCAACCTCCAAATATACAGCAGGCGTCAGGGTCGGGGTCGAACCCACGACCTCCTGCATACCAGGCGAGGCCGTTAACATCTCGCCACCGTGGCGCCCATAGGTTCATAATGGTCATGCCGGACATAGCGAGATTTTAGATTGAAGCCCTGGGTCACACAATGTATTTAACTTTTTCTCAGAGTGTTCATAATGGCGGTGTCAAGAACATGTAGGAACCTCTCACATTCTGGCTTCAATGGCTGTGTCAGAAATAGAACGCTCGTGAGATTAGCACTTTCGCAAAACATTTTCGGGAGTAATGGAAATGATTGGCGGTCATATGTGCATTACATTAATAGTGCATTTAATTGTAATTGTTTCGCTATTCTTTTACAACTGGCAGCAAGTGCGTCATAATACGTGTTGTAGGGTTATTATCATTTACACGAGCGAGTGAGATGCTCAGTGAGTGAGTGAATGAGTTAGTGAGTGAATGAGTGAGATGGTGAGCGAAGGAGTAGAGTGGATTTGGTTTAACCAGGTGGGAACTCAAGAGACCAGATTAGTCCCAATTTGCAAGGGCGACCTGGGTCAAAAACAGTGGCTAAAGGAGCAGCCCTGCAATTGCTGCTCACGTCACTGCTGGCGGAAGAGCCTCCACTTGAGACCACCAGCAGCGGATATTTGGCCTGCTCTTCCACGCGCAGACTGAATACAAAAATGAATGCGACACAGGGACAGCTGGAACTGCGGGAGGTGGGGGAGTGGCGGTTCCTTCGAATGCCTGAGATGAGATACGCTTTGTGATTTCGGGGGCATGTTAAGTTTAAATGAATTATCACGATGGGCTTATATCGAGCTCGCACAGATGAAGAACATTTCAAAGTTTGCTTAATTTCACACTGGAGGTGCAGTAGAATTACACAAAAAAACGCAATAAACAATTCACAACACGGTTACAAAGTTATGGGGAAGTGACCACATAACAATCGCGACTTCATGAAAACTTGACATTACATTGTATAAAATCATCAACACAAAAAAATCACAGAAACCAAACTCTAATCGGCGCTAGCATACTGCGCTGACCCGGCCATTTTAAACCCCGAGATGGGAGGAGAAACGCTTGTCCTAGGGATTTAACCCAGATCCTAAGCGGTGCTGGCTGAGTGCTTATTCCCCTGGCCATTGAGACACAGGTGAGAGACCTTGTCTTCTTAGATCTTGTCTTTTCGTGTCCATTCATCACGTCCCGCGGGTGGCTCAATTTCACTTTCTTGAGTCTCACTGCACACGGGGAAGATATGGGAGACACGGGGGAGATATGGGGGAGACACGGGGGATACACCGTCAGAAAAACCAGGGGAGACACCAAGAGAGACACCAGCGGAGACGTCAGGGGTGTTGTATATGTAGGCCTTTTTCCAAAAATTGATATTAAGAATAATTTTGCCAATTTTTTTTATAATAATAATCGATAACAAAAAATGAAACAAACACCCTCAACCCCACTACCTCCCACAAGCCACACCAAGCATCTGGAGGTCATAAAGAGCCATTAAATAATAAACTCCGGGGCAAAGGGAGGTTAACGACGATCTGGAAAATCTCCAGATTGTCAAAGGACCATATGACACGACCTCCTCGAACGTTTTGGACAGTTCACAAACACATCTCCAGAGCCGTAAAATACAGGCACATAGCAGGGACAAACGGACATTACAACTGGCGTTTTCTTTAACGGTAAAAGTTCGAAACTTAGCAAAAAGAACAAATCGACATTATAGACTGCAGTCTACAGTGAGGGAAACAAGTATTTGATCCCCTGCTGATTTTGTAATTTGAATGGTAGGTTTATTTGAACAGTGAGAGACAGAATAACAACAAAATTCAGAAAAACGCATGTAAAAAATGTTATAAATTGATTTGCATTTTAATGAGGGAAATAAGTATTTGACCCCCTCTCAATCAGAAAGATTTCTGGCTCCCAGGTGTCTTTTATACAGGTAACGAGCTGAGATTAGGAGCACACTCTTAAAGAGCACACTCTTAAAGAGAGTGTGCTCTGTATAAAAGACACCTGTTCACAGAAGCAATCAATCAATCAGATTCCAAACTCTCCACCATGGCCAAGACCAAAGAACTCTCCAAGGATGTCACCATTACCCCGAATTATGTGGACTACAATCCCGAACGCCCGTGATGACAAGTGAATACACATCATGATACTTGAAGACACGTGAAGTCACGGTACCTTCAATAGTTGTTATTCTGGGAATCCTTCCTCGGCTTTGGAGGTACGTTTGGCTTCGGCAATCCTATGAGCTGTGAAGCTCCCTTTGACAGATGTCCAGCGGGGGCACAGGGTCAGCAAGTTACAAAAGTCTAACAATAGTTTTTACCCTTTATGACAATAAAACAGTTGTGTCAAGATGTTAAAACACCAAACAGAATCATAATTCAAGGAATCCTGTCTGCATTAACCACACGTACTTGTGGTGAACATGCAAACAAAAAACAACATGCTGTGATAATATATGGGCATTGTCTTTGAAACTGATTGGTCCACACCAGAGAGCTTTCTTTAGAGCCTCGTCTCAAAGTGTTAGACCAGAAAACGCCAAAAGGCGAACAGCACAAGGGCAATGCCACTACCAGGGCATTTATATCTCGGGGTGAGCAGCTACAATATGAACCTTTCTTGGCAATATATTCAAATATAACGATAGGTTTTACCCTTTCTGGCAATAAAACAATTGTGTCAAAATGTTAAAACACCAAACATCTTTACACAAGTGTTTTATTGGCAGAAAGGTTAAAACCTATTGTTATACTTTAATGCTGCCAAGAAAGGTCCCATATTGAAGTTAACAAAGACAAAGATCCGCTCCGTATAGCCTTTACCAGACTGGTGGGGCAAGTGCTGTTGGCGAGCACCGACGAAGGCCGGCACAGCACACGAGGGCCGGCACACCACTCACCGGCCGCCTTTGTCTCCCCAGTGGTGATGTTTACACACCGCACCGGGAACTCATTTAAGGCCGTGACGACCTCGGGGAGGCCCATGACTGGTTCAGATAATCGTTACCGGTGTTTGTGACCGTGAGCAGGAATCGAACTCGGGTCATAGCCGGGGCTCGTAGCAGAGCGGCCGCCAAAGGGTTACGCTGCCGCTGCCAACGCAGCACGTTACAACAACAATGCAACAAGACGCTATGAGTGCAGCGTAGAGAAACGGTATTATTCTTGCTGCTGTGTGCTCTTGCGTCCGTGTTGGGTGTCACACCTGTTGCCCATTTGCGTCATCATCTTCTGCTTGGAGGCTCGAACTGGAAGGCAAAGCAACAGAGGGAGAGATCAATAAAATGAGTCTAGCCCGTTCTCCTATTACGAGGTGGTATTTGCTTTCCTGAAGAACACCGCGTTATGTAAAAATCGCGTTATAATAAAAAATATATAACATAAAGGGTAAAGCACAGTCCGCGATAATGCCGTGAGATGTGTAACGCAGGCCGAACAAAGACTAAGGCGCATGGGTGGCATCTAGAAGCATCCAGCAGCATCCCAATGCCTTGTGCGATGATGATGCTACCGAGGCAGCCGTACAAACCATTTATTCCTACTCATGCGACGTAGTTCCATTCACTTAAATTGCATTATGTATCCAATCCACATCCACGTTGTAGAAACACTTGCTCGCTAATACATTCATAGCGTTAGATCCAATTCGCGCTATGACAACAACACGCGGTGTTACATAGGAGAACAGACCGTAGCACTTTATGGGGAAGAAAACAACAGAGGTTGTCCTATGGAGACACTCTCCCCTGCCATAGCAACGTGTAATTTCCTACCAGTGGCTCCTCTGCTAGGGCTGTAAATAGCAGAAGATGCAAAAAGTACCTCGACGTTCAATTGGACAATAAATCACTTTGTCCTCGGAGTCCCGAGCAAAGGGCTACAGAGATAGGGATAGTAAAAGCGTACGCATGAAGGGTACAGGATGAGTGATCGGTTCTTCCTTCATTTAGAATGACCGGACAATGAACCGGCGATCTCTACTGGGTTGCAAAGTCCAGCCGTGCTAACCACTCCACCACTGGCAGGGTTTGAACCTCTCTTTTAAAACTGATTGGGCTACGCCAGAGACGGACAATGCATATTTTATCAGAGTATGTGTGTTTGCATGTTCACCATAAATACTGCGGGTTGTTAATGCAGATCTGATTCCTTGCAAAAGATTTCTACTTGGTGTCTGAACATCTTAACCCAACTCCTGTTTCATTGCCAGAAACGGTCAAATCTATTCTTAAATTTGTAATACTTTGATACTGCCAAAAAAGGTCCCATTTTGTAAATATTCTGATTTAAAGACGGTCACTCTGCATTGGACGCTTTCAGATGCGCTTCTGTGGTCGTCAAGAACGTTCTTCTGATATTAGGAAGCCACTGGAGCTATACACTTTTAAATCATCATCTAGATGAACAACTAATTTCTTTAGAACTGCGTTTTTTGTGTTTAGTTCGTGGTCAGTCACCCGCACTTCCGATTAGCATGCTTGGCTACGTAGGGTGCGAAATAAGTTCAACATGCCACACGTACGTTCGCGGCATTTACTACAACGGCAAGTGCGAAAGGAATGGAACAGAGGCAGCATCGTGCGTGATGTTAAAGCGACGGAGTTGACTTGAGGAAGGGATCGCAGGAGGTCGTAGCTCTGCGATACCCACTTCCGTGGGCCGTTCTACAACACGAAGGGTCATGCACAGCTCCGCGAGTCACCCGAGAGGACACTCTGAGTCGTGACGATGCAAGATGAACGATCGTAGAATTGGTGTAAAATAGAGGGGGGTGGGGATGGGAAATATTTCGAGCCCTTGAAAAAAAGAATGTTACAAGTTTACCTTGTAGGTTTGTCAGCTGATGTGGATCCAAATTGACTTTTCTTAGCCGATTTCTCTTTATTGACTTGAGAATAAATCGGTGCCTGATCAGGACACACAATCATATTAATCATCTCCATCCTCAGGCGTAATCTTCAATCACTGATGAAGTATATGTACTATGTATGTATGCGATATAGTAGGTGAGATCAAATGCAAGTTGATTTGGTTTAAACAGGTGAGAAACTCAAGAGACCAGGTGAGTTCAATTTGCAAGGGCGACCTGGGTCAAAAACAGTGGCTAAAGCAGCAGCCCTGCAATTGCTTGCTCACATCACTGCTGGCGGAAGACCCTCCACTTGAGACCACCAGCAGTGGATATTTGGCCTGCTCTTCCACACTGGCCAGTGCGCGTTTGGAAAGGCGTGGGAGTACCCACACTTTAATAAGTATAACCCGTAAAAACAAAGTTTTTCACTCTAAATCCTTTATATGCGTGGCGGCTAGAGTCCTCTCGTCCTCTAGCTTGAGATGGCTGCCACCTATGGGTCAGATGATTGTCTGCAGTATTAAACAATTGGTAATTAAATATTTAATTTGTTTTCCCTAAACAGTGTAAAATTTTGGAAATTTTTTTTTCACGAACATTAATTGTCTCGCACAACGAGTGTGTGTGCAAAATGTCAGCTCGATTGGATCACGGGAAGTGGGTTAAAAAACGACCGAAAGGTTTGCATGGTCGTAAGCAAGCAAGCACACAAGCAAGCAAGCAAGCACGCAAGCACGCGAACTTAATATAAAGGATTTAACAAGTATAACCCGTAAAAAAAAGTTTTTCACTATAAATCCTTTATATGCGTGGCGGCTAGAGTCCTCTCGTCCTCTGGCTTGAGATGGCTGCCACCTATGGGTCAGATGATTGTCTGCCAGTATTAAGCAATTGGTAATTAAATATTTTATTTGTTTTCCCTAAACAGTGTAAAATTTTGGAAAAATAATTTTCACGAACATTAATTGTCACGCACAACGAGTCTGTGTGCAAAATGTCAGCTCGATTGGATCACGGGAAGTGGGTTAAAAAACGACCGAAAGATTTGCACGGTCGTAAGCAAGCAAGCAAGCACGCAAGCAAGCAAGCAAACTTCATATAAAGGATTTAAAAAGGCATAGCAAACGTCATCCCCTATGGCCAGACTAAATACAAAGTTAATGCTACACAGGCACAGCTGGCACTGGGGGAGGGGCGGGGGGAAGGATTTCTTTTTGAATTCTGGGACATGTAGTCTAACGCCCTATAAATGCAAGGGTGATGATTATTGTTGTTGTATATGCATAAGAAATAACGTTACCGGAGCAGCTTGTGGTGGCTGTTTTCCACTACTGAAGACAAGACACACGAAAACCACGTACATACACCAGCAAGCATCAGTACACATGTACACCGACCAGGAAGATGAATCATTAACGCGCATGTATTCTGAGACAGTCACCGTGACTCGTATAGCCCCGCCGACTTCTCAGGTAAGGGGCCGTCCATAAATGACGTCACGCGATTTTGGACGATTTTTGACCCCCCCCCCCCTCGTCACACGGCGTCACAAAAAGACCCTCCCTCAAATATGACGTCACAAAGCTCTGCCCCCCCCCCCCCCCGAAAACCATATTTCCATTTTGAAAATAAAACATGTTTCAAATCGCTTTAAACTATTGCCATTCTAGTTGCGTATTTAATGTGGCGCTGCACTCTGATGTTGTAAGAGAAAACATTTATTAAAAAGTCTATTTAATTAAATAGAATGTATTGTTTATATTTATTTAAAGCTGCGCATTTTAATGTGACGTCACATTTCTCAAACCCCCCTCGTCACACATCGTCACAAATGTCTGACCCCCCCCCCGCCACTGGGTGCGTGACGCCATTTATGGACGGCACCTAACCCTGCCCGGAACTCAGGTAGGCCCGCCCACAACTCGGGTAGCCGCTCCCACCCACTCACTCGCTCACGCACTCAATGATCCATTGCAGGGCATGCTGGGTAAGGGTCACAGCTCTTTTTCAGCACAAATGAGAGCTCAACAAAGTGGATCATCAGCACGTGGACATTTCCAGCAGCCAAATACTCAAACGCGTGACGTTGAATTTCAATGTGGAGTGAAAAACTGGAGGACCCGGAGAGCATGAGATAGACACCGCAAACTTCAAATATACAACAGCAGGCCGTCAGGGTCAGGATCGAACCCAGGACCTCCAGGTGAGGTAGTTCCCACCTCGCCACCATGGCACCTGGATCCCCGTGCGGTTTCTGTGTCACCAAAGTATGATCTTGTGTTTAGATTTAGTGTGCTAATCTTTAAAGTTGCATTGAAAATGTTTGATATTCCAACTGACGCTCCTACTGTTGTGGAGTGACTCATGCAGCCAGCTATGGCTACAGGGTTTTGGTGGTACATGTTGTTTATATCGTTTATTGTGAAATTTCGGTCACAGTTCCTATGATCGCTGTTACATTGCTTTTATGGCTTTATTTTGGCGATTTCGAAAAGTTTTTTGGTTTGGCCATGTTTGTTGTAGTACGGAGTTAGACTGATGGCTTTAATCTAAGTTGTCTTGTGGTTGTTGTTGTTGTTTGGCTTGCATCCCACTGTGATTTTTGCACAGAGCGTTGGCGTACGGTGCTTTTTTCTGGGAGATTTTTTGCTGTTTTTTCCTGGATTTTTCTGTTTTCTTGTTCATATTTGTTGTTTGTTGCGGTTACACCCGATTGAAGAGCCGAAGGACTCACAGGGCTATGCTAAATAAATGTTAACTGAAAACTGAAAATCTGAAACCACCTAATAATCCACTCACTCACCGCACTGCAGGTCACAACGCTTCCCCCTTTACTCTTTGGTTCTTTCGGTGAAGTCACGTAGAAAGAAAATAAATTAAATAATAGAGTACGACGTTTCGATTGCAACACAAGCAACCGTCATCAGGTAGAACTAAATTTGAGAGAGAGACAAAACACAGACACGGAGACACACAGACAGCGCACAACTCCGCTCGTTGCAACTCCTTCCCATTATTCCTTTTTGCCAATTCCTGACCACAACCTTCACTCAAGGCAAGAAAAGGTGTCAACCCCTTCCATCTATTTCACAGCACCGCTTGTTTTTCCGGCCCTGCTTGATATATTGTGCCTTGGGTAGGTGGCTGTGCTCGTCGATTCCAAAATAAAAAATACCTAAACTAAACAATTTCGTATTTTACCGGCGTTACATCGGAGAACAGACCGTAGCACTTTATGGGGAAGAAAACAACAGAGGTTGTCCTATGGAGACACTCGCCCATGCCATAGGGGCCGTCCATAAATGATGTCACGCGATTTTGGACAATTTTTTACCCCGCCCCCCTCGTCACACGGCGTCACAAAAAGTCAGACCCCCCCTCAAATATCACGTCACAAAGCTCTGCCCCCCTCCCCAACACCATATTTCTATTTTGAAGATAAAACATGCTTCAAATCGCTTTAAACTATTGTAATTGTAGTGCGTATTTAATGTGGCGCTGCACTCTGATGTTGTAGGAAAAAACACTTATTAAAAAGGGGGCGTTGGAAAGCTTAAATTTAGCATAAAATTCACTTGAAAATATTCAACGTATAACTAAAACTGTAGATGTTCAGAATATTATATTGAAATTATCTTATAATTATAAAATATTAAAAGTAATTATAACTATACAAAAAATACTTGTAGTCGAACGAAGCAAAATGGAGAGTACAATTATAACAATCACATTCATTCCACAGAATGAAAAACCCTGGTAGAATCATTAGAATCAAAATGTTTATTAACAATCATAAATTTTTTTTAAAATGTATGCGTCTCCATTCTCCCATGGAGAAGCAAATGCTCCTTCATGGAATAAATAAAAGGTGACCTTAGTAAATTTTAATAATCAAATCGTTAATAATGAAAATTAATCAAAATTAGCGTTGTTATAACAATTCTATATTTATTTAAAGTTGCACATTTTTACATGACGTCACATTTTTCAAACCGCCCCCCCTCGTCACACATCGTTACAAATGTCTGACCCCCCCCCCCCTAGGTGCGTGATGTCATTTATGGACGACCCCATAGCAACGTGTAATTTCATACCAGTGGCTCCTCTGCTAGGGCTGTAAATAGCAGAAGAAGCGAAAAGTACCTCGACGTTCGATTGGGCAAGAAATCACTTTGGCCTCGGAGTCCCGAGCAAAGGGCCATAGAGATAGTGATAGTAAAAGTGGACGCATGAGGGGCACAGGATGAGGGTTCGGTTCATTTAGAATGACTGGACAATGAACGGGCGATCTTTGCTGGGTTGCAAAGTACAGCCGTGCTAACCACTACACCACTGGCAGGGGTTGAACCTCTCTTTTAAAACTGATTGGGCTACGCCAGAGACGGACAATGCATATTTGATCAGAGTATGTTTGTTTGCATGTTCACCATAAATACTGTGGGTTGTTAATGCAGACTTCATTCCTTGCAAAAGGTTTCTATTTGGTGTTTGAACATCTTAACACAACTCCTGTTTTATTGCCAGAAAGGGTAAAATCTATTCTTATTTTTGTATACTTTGATACTGGCAAAAAAAGGTCCCATTTTGTAAATATTCTGATTTAAAGACGGTCACTGCATTGAGCGCTTTCAGATGCGCTTCTGTGGCCGTCAAGAACGTTCTTCTGATATTAGGAAGCCACTGGAGCTATACACTTTTAAATCATCATCTCGATGAAAAACAAATTTCTTTAGAACTGCGTTTTTTGTGTTTAGTTCGTGGTCAGTCACCCGAAACTTCCGATTAGCATGCTTGGCTATGTAGGGTGCGAAATAAGTTCAACATGCCACACGTACGTTCGCGGCATTTACTACAACGGCAAGTGCGAAAGGAATGGAACAGAGGCAGCATCGTGCGTGATGTTAAAGCGACGGGGTTGACTTGAGGAAGGGATCGCAGGAGGTCGTAGCTCTGCGATACCCATTTCCGTGGGCCGTTCTACAACACGGAGGGTCATGCACAGCTCCGCGAGTCATCCGAGAGGACACTCCGAGTCGTGACGATGCAAGATGAACGATCGCAGAATTGGTGTAAAATAGAGGGGGGGGGGGAATATATTCCGAGCCCTTGAAAAAAAGAATGTTACAAGTTTACCTTGTAGGTTTGCCAGCTGATGTGGATCCAAATTGACTTTTCTTAGCCAAGTTCTCTTTATCGAGTTCAGCGTAAATCGTCACCTGATCAGGACACACAATCATATTCATCGTCTCCATCTATAGGCGTAATCTTCAATCACCGATGATGTAAATGTACTATGTATGTATGCGGTATAGTATGTCAGATCAAATACAAGTTGATTTGGTTTAGTCAGGTGAGAAACTCAAGAGACCAGGTGAGCGTGTCATCTGGAAGAGCGAGTGAGTGAGATGCTGAGTGAGCAAGTGAACAAGTAAGATGGTGAGTAAGTGGGATGCTGAGTAAATGAGTGAGTGAGTCAAGTGGATTTGGTTTAAACAGGCGAGAAACTCAAGACACCAGGTGAGTTACATTTGCAAGGGCGACCTGGGTCAAAAACAATGGCTAAATTAGCAGCCCTGCAATTGCTTGCTCACATCACTGCTGGCGGAAGACCCTCCACTTGAGACCACCAGCAGTGGATATTTGGCCTGCTCTTCCACACTTTCCAGTGCGCGTTTGGGAAGGCATGGGAGTACCCACACTTTAAAAACGCGAAGCAAAAGTCACCCCCTATAGCCAGACTTAATACAAAATGAATGCTCCACAGGCACAGCTGGCACTGGCAGAGGGGCTGGGGGAGGGGTTTCCTTTGAATCTCTGAGATGAGATGTGCTTTGCGATTCTGGGGCATGTAGTCAAACGCCCTATAAATGTGTAGTGTAATAACACTGGCTGCTGACGGAAAAAATGCTGTATATACGTCAGCAGAAATAGTATATACGGGACGAGGAGATCTAATGAGAAGCTCAGGAAGTGGTCCATCTGGAAGCCCGGGAACCTGCTAGTAGGTTCTAGAAAGGGGGCGTGGCCACGCCAGGAAGATAAAAGGGGGCCTGGGGTGAGATCTCGGGGCTGTTGCTGGAAGTGGATTCCCTCGCTGTGTCGCTGTTCGTCAACTTCGTTGCCACCGTCTCGACCACTCTTAGACTCCGCTAGCTAGAAAGCCTGTCAACTGTACTAGCTAGGTAGTTCCATCAAAAGAAATGGATGTGTCTCCGAGTAAGTCACTACAAATGCAAGGATGATGATTATTGTTGTTGTTGTATATGCATAGGAAATAACGTTACCGGAGCAGCTTGTGGTGACTGTTTTCCACCACTGAAGACAAGACACACGAAAACCACGTACACACACCAGCAGGCATCAGTACACATGTACACAGACCAGGAAAATAAATCGTGATCACGCATGGATTCTGTGAGACATTCACCGCTACACGTACAGCCCCACCCACTTCTCAGGTAGCCCAGCCCACAACTCAGGTAGCCCCCCCCCCCGCTCACAACTCAGTTAACCCGCCCACAACTCGGGTAGCCCCACCCACTGCTCAGGTAGCCACACTCACTACTCACGTAGGCCCACCCACAACTCGGGTAGCCGCTCCCACCCACTCACTCGCTCACCCACTCAATTATCCATTCAACCACCTAATAACCCACTCACTCACCACATTGCAGGTCACAATGCTTCCCCCTTTCTATCCACGTAAGGCTCTACTCTTTGCAACTTCTTCCCATCGTCCCTTTTGCCAATTCCTGACCACAACCTTCGCTCAATGCAAGAAAAGGTGTCAACCCCTTCATCTATTTCACAGCACAGCTTGTTTTTCCAGCCCTGATTTATATTTTGGGCCTTGGGTAGCTGGCTGTGCTCGTCAACCACGGTTCCAAAATCAAAAATACCTCAACTAAACAATGTTTTATTTTCCCAGGTAAGGCCCACTGAACTATGTAGCTCTCTTTCAGAGGCAACCTGGCTATCATAAATGATAGTTCAACGAAGTGGCTTATCACGTGGAAATGGATAGCAGCAGCCAAATATTCTAAACACGTGTTTCTAAATGTGGAGGGGAAAACTGGAGGACCCGGAGAAAGATCCACGTGACCACGGGAAGAGAGAACACACAAACTCCAAAAACACAGGTGTTCGGGTCGCGATCGAACCCACCCTTTCCTTCATACCAGGCGAGGTCGTTAACATCTCGCCACTGTGGTGCCCCTTACCTGCCGGCAGGGTTGTCTTCGTAGCCACGATTCGGTTTGCCGTTCAGCCCTCCGTCGGTGAGATTGTCTTTACCGGGAGGAGGCATTGTAATCTGCAGTTCCCATTTGAGAGGCACCACGGAAGGGGATGGGTGTGGGGGGGGGCGACAGTGAAGGGCAGAAGTGCGTGGGAGCTTTCAAAGTCGAGTTCAGAGAGTTGCCATCCTGACAAGGGTCAAATAGTTCACTCCACGCGGTCGTCTAGGTGTAACAGGGAGCCCTCGCACAACGCACGGCGTTCACACCGTGACTCGTTGTCGCCATGACGAACGCTTTTTCCAATCGGGAACACTTTTCGCACAACGCGGAACGCGCACCATTATAACGCCGGGGTACACACACAGGGATAGGGCTCGTAATGGCACTCGCATAGAGATAGGGCTGATAGGGGTACACAGACAATAATAGGGATGGTAGGGGTACACAGACAATGATAGAACTGGTAGGGGTAAACAGATAGTGATAGGGCTGGTAGGGGTACACACATTGTAAAATAGTGACGGTGGCAGTGAGTTCACTCACCTCCGCATACTCTGTTGTTTTATTCTCACTGCAGAAGAGAGGGTGGGGGGTGCCCGTTAGGGGTAACGTTACATGAGCTTTTAAGCTCTTTTTCACAGATGTCCAGTCTGGGCATGGGGTCAGCTAAGTTACAACAGCAAATCAATACAGCAAACGACAGGAGTGCAAAATAGAGAAAATGGTAAGAATGTCACGAAATAGAAATTAATTTTCTTGGTTCTTTCGGTAAAGTCGCGTAGAAGGGAAATAATAAAATAATAAAAATAAAACATAATAAAATACAATTCTCATGACGTTTTGGCCACAACGCAAGCAGCCGTCCTCAGGTGAAGAACAGGGCTGTCGGAAAGACAGCGTCTGAATGAAACACCACCAAGCTTGGCAGCGTATATTTAAGCTGAGTTAGAGGAGGAGGGCACCTTGACAAATGAATTTGCATATCAACAGGAATTTAGCATATTTATGGAAAATGCAGATATGGGATTAGTCACTACTTGTGGAATGTGTAGGTGGTGGGGGGGGGGTCTCAAAGTCATATTATGCCCGTGTATTATGTAGGATTTGGGATAAAGGAGCTGCAGCAGCCAAACCACGTAAAAAACTAAAATATAAACTACATCAATATTATCCATATACTCAATATACTCTCCAATAAGCTGAGCTACTAACAGTAAGTCATACATTACAATTTTACGTCGCAAGAAAATATATAATATGCCTCCAGCTAAACTTTTTTCTCTTACATCACACGGGTCTACCCCGTACTATATACTGCCATAGACAAACTCAACATTAAATTATATACTGCATTACTATACACCACCCTATACCTTAGACTATACATTGTAATATTACACTATGTATTACTCTACCCACCCTACTGTATAACACACTGCTGTATTTTTCGATTTAAAGCTTTCGTGACTGCAGGGATTCATCTTCTTGGTTCTTTCGGTAAAGTCACGTAGAAGGAAAATAATAAAATAATAAAAATAAAACATAATAAAATAATTCTCACGACGTTTTGGCCACAACGTAAGCAGCCGTCTTCAACAGACCTGTTCTCCACCTGAAGACGGCTGCTTGCGTTGTGGCCGAAACGTCGTGAGAATTGTATTTTATTATGTTTTATTTTTATTATTTTCCTTCTACGTGACTTTACCGAAAGAACCAAGAAGATGAACACTGCTGTATATTCACTATACAATTACGATACTATATATTACCTTATACATAATATTAAACATTACACTTTTATACTATTTATTATAATACAATCGGGTATATCCATGTGATAGAAGAAAAAGGTTTAGCTGGAGGCATATTATATTTTTTGCGACGTAAAATTGTAATGTATGACTTATTGTTAGTAGCTCAGCTTATTGGAGAGTATATTGAGTATATTGATGATATTGATGTAGTTAATATTTTCGTTTTTTACGTGGTGGTTTGGCTGCTGCAGCTCCTTACTATTAAAATGCCTTCCCTTTATTACTGCTAATCCTACTTCCTCCCTTTATTACTGCTAATCCTACATAATACACGAGCATAATATGACTTTGAGACCCCCCCTCCACCACCTACACATTCCACAAGGAGTGACTAATCCCATATCTGCATTTGCCATAAATATGCTAAATTCCTCTGTTGATATGCAAATTCCTTTGTCAAGGCGCCCTCCTCCTCTAACCCTAAATATACGCTGCCAAGCTTTGTGGTGTTCATTCAGACACTGTCTTTCCGACAGCCCTGTTCTTCACCTGAGGACGGCTGCTTGCGTTGTGGCCGAAACGTCGTGAGAATTGTATTTTATTATGTTTATTTTTATTATTTTATTATTTCCCTTCTACGTGACTTTACCGAAAGAACCAAGAAGATGGATCCCTGCAGTCATGAAAGCTTTAAATCGAAATAGAAATTAATTATACATTATTTATATATATGTCTGATTTCATCGTGGTTGGGCAAGGCAGCAGAAATAACCAGAAAACAGTCCCACACCACACCAAGGAGACAGTGCCCATAAATAAAATGGCAAGTTATCTGATGATGTGGATACCTTTAAGTCTCGTCTTCAACAAATGTTCTTAAGTCAATTTATTCTATTTAGCTTTTACTTCTCTTGGCCTTTCCTTATCCTTATTCTTACGAGGCACCTTGAGACATTAGTGGAAGGCGCATTACAAATAAATGTAATTTATTCTTCTTATTAACAGTGAGCTATTACCACCGGACTTGTTGATCGGTGAGATGAATACCGCTCAGTGAGGTTACCTGGGGATCTGTTGCCCAATGGGCGCTCCTTTTCCATGTGGCTGGGCTCCAGGGGTCTCCACGTCATTGTTAGTATGGTCGTTCTGTGACCACGAGGCGGAGAGAAGACAGACAACACCCGAACAACAACGACAAAAACTTGACAAATTGACCCCATGTCTGGGCAATAGCTAAATTTGAATGCGCCGTGTTATTGAAGGGACTGCGTTGTTATGTTGTTGTTTTGCTGCCTTGCCTAAGCTTGCGCTTAGTTTTGAAAAATCGGCAGAAAGTGATGCACTCATGCAATTTGAAAGTATGTTTTTTATTTATAGATGTTTTTATTATTTCATTACCTTTTATATATGTAGTGGGTTCCACGGAGACACACACTGCAATCTGGAGGCACCACGTTTATCATACAGCACAACGGGGTTACTACTTTAACTACACAATCAGTTAACTAGACCCCAACCGGGTCACTACGTAACTGTGTCAGGACTGTAACTCGCCTGACCCACGGAACCTAAAATACAACCTAACCGACGACCGAAGCGACATAGCACGTTGAGTTCCCTCTCCCAGAGTGCACTGGCAGTCTATACATAGCCAGCTTCAAACTGGGTCTGTCTCTGGATTTTTCGAACCCAGGGGTCAACAACATGCGGCTATTTAAGGACTGCTGCTTCGTGACGTTATTTATTAAGGATCACCATCTCGATTTCACCAAATGCATTGCAGCTCTTGAAACAGGGAGTTTTTCTTTACCAAATTTGAAAAAAATCGTCTCTGATTGTTATTTTTGTTGCAGACCCCTGGCTTAACCAACCGATTAGCACGGTTGGCTGCGTACGGTGAGAAAGCAGTTCAATATACAAACATGCATCGAAGGCCTTGCGGTCAATGGGGCGTGTAACAAAGACACTTTCATTTTTATTTCTATTATGGCGAGATAAATATTGGAAGGAGAATAACCGATATTTATTTATTCAATTTTATAGTCTCGAATTTCCAGCAGGGCTGTAAAAACGGGCAACAAGCATCGCGTCATTTCGACGCTCGTTTTTCAGTGACTGGGAATCGCTGAGGCTGGGAATCTCTCTGGCTGGAAATTGCCGTGGCTAGGAATCACTCCGGCTCATCGTAGTTTGTGCCGAGCGTGGACGGCCGCTTACCAGTTGGTGTGCGGAACCTACTGGAGCGTCCTGGCCATGTTTTCGCTTCTTCCTGCAGATAAACATTATTAGACATCGATGACAACAATAGCTTGAGCCGATCCGTCCACAGTGAAGCTTAGCGGCGTGCGGTATCGTCATGGTTAATACACTCGCAACTGCCAAGGTATTAAAAATATGGGCGGTCACTGGATTCGAACTGTGAACCTCTGCAATAGGAAGCGGCGAATTCGCTACCTGCTGGGACACATCGCCGCCCATAGCATAATTGACGGATGTGCACTGATGGGTGCAGATGTCAACATTAATGACTTTTCTGATATTGTGAACTCTTCTTCTTACTTTAGAAAGCCTTTTTGACCTCCTGTATACCAGGAGGTTGTGGGTTCAATCCCGACCCTGATGCCTGCTGTATATTTGGAGTTTGCGTTCTCTCCATCACCCCGTGGTTGCGTGCACATTTTTTTCCGTGTCCTCCGGTTTTTCCTTCCACATTTTAAAATCAATTTCACGCGTTTAGAGTATTTGGCTGCTGTAAATGTCAACGTGACAAGCCACTTCATTTGTGATATCCAGGTTGCTTCTTAAAAAGAGCTATATAGCTCAGTGGGCTTTACCTGGTAAAATACAATAAATAGGTGGCAACACTGCTCAGGTGACCATCCGGAACCTTTGTCGGGTTCGTTTTTGCTACATTCTGCTTCAAGGAGTTGGCAACACTGGCCCAACCAACCCCTATTGTCCATGAGCAGTAGCATACGCATCGCCTCGATATAAATCGATCATTGGGAACTCACATTGCTTGAGTCCCCTTCTTCTTGCAGAATAAAAAGACTAATGCAGCCACTGCAGCCAAAACCAATAGTGGCACAATGACGGCGACAGCTATGATCCAGGGCTCAACACCGGCGCCACCACCTACAAAAGACACATACATTTGTGGGCAATTGTTAATATTGCCTGAAGGTTAAATCGTGTAATGGTGCAGCCATGCAATTTGCTCGCCCACGCCACTGCTGGCAGGAGCACCCCCCTCCCGCCGCCACTTGATAGCCCTTTCCGGTAAGTACGTTGGCCTAGTCTTCGGTGCCGGTGAGATGTCTTGGTGGAGAGGTGGGGAGTACCCACACTTTGCCTCACCGCACGTGACGTTGCCAATCGGATAGCCATTTGTACTGCTGCTGCTGCTGGGTGGACAGAGGTGGGCGGCGAGGCAGGGATTTAAGGAACTTGCCCTCCTGTTGTTTCAACTGCCGAGCTGGATTGCAAGTCTAAGTGTGGCTCGCCATTACAACATGCCAGCTCCACTTTTTTTATAAATGGCTGAAGACAATGGTACAGACTATCCTCGACTTACGAACACCTGCACTTACGAACACCCACAGTTGCTGCTTTATATGTCCACATGATAAGCCACTTCATTGAGCTATCATTTGTGGCCAGGTCGCTTCTGAAAAAGAGTGACATAGCTCATGGTAAAATAGAAAAAGTTTTTGTTTACTTACGAATTCTCGCACTTACGAACCAGCTTCCATGATTTTTTTTTTAAACATTGACTTAAAACACGACCTCGCATTTGCAAATTAAACCGCAAAACTATTTTGTTTAGCAGAGCGATCCTCTGCAAGGTGTAATTAGTCAGCCTCGCATTGGGAGTAAGTGTTTGGCAGGGGCAGATCTCCTATTGAGCTGTATAGCTATTTTTTAGAAGCGACCTTGCCACAAATGATAGCCCAATGTAGTGGCTTATCATGTGGAAATTATAGTAGCCAAATATTCTATCAACGCACACCGATTCTAAATGTGGAGGGAAAAACTGGAGGACCCGTAGAAAATGTCATACAATCATGGGGAGAGACACACGGAAATTCCAAATATACAGCAGGCATCAAGGGTGGGGATCGAATCCACGACCTACTGTATACCAGGCAAGGTCGTTAACGTATCCTAGCCATCGTGGCGTCCCTATTTTAAATATATCCGTGACGTGCGCCGATTTATCTCGTCTGAAGGTTGACACTCGTTCACCTGTGTTTGTTTAGCGGCCTCCTACAGCAGTTTGGAGATGCGAGTGCCAAAGTCCACCTTTGAGATAGCCGTTTGTGAGCTGTGGGTTTTACCATCACTTATCAGTTTGCTATGGTTACACATACACACGAGAGGGCTCGTTTAAGCTCACTTTTTTCACACTCGCATCAAAAATATGTTATCTGGCTCAGAGCTCAGAGCTGATCCGGAATTTCTGAGATTATGGCTTTGAATCCAAGTTTCTATTACCCAGGTTAAGCCTTCACTGCCACAGAGTCACGACCGCTAGGATCTTGGGTTTGTTTCATAAATCAATGATTAAACACAATTCTCAAGTGCAGCGAGGTCATTGCCTTAGCCTGGTCACCAATTACTTACATAGGTGGCGTATTTAAGACAAAGATCCCCCATATAGCCTTCACAGGACTGTTGGGGCAAGTGCTGTTAGCGAGCAACTATGAAGGCCAGCACGGCAAACGAGGGGGGTGGCCAGCACCATGACTAATCGCCTTTGTCTCCCTAGTGGGGATGTTTACACACCACACCAGCTGAGTCGACCTCGGGGAGGCCCAATACCGGTTCAGATAATTAATCATCACTGGTGTCGACCGTGAGCGGGAATCGAACCTGGGTCGCCGGGTTCATAGCACATAGATTCACATAGATAGGGACACATAGATTCACATATAATGAGTTGTGAATAAATCGGGCTCTCAAGTGCAGTGAGCTGATGGTCTTAGCACAGTCACCATTGACTTAGGAGATACATATACAGTACTTGCATGAACCTATACAGAGATCAATAAAGTTACACAATTAATATGGCTAAATTCCAGTTCTGAGAAAAAAATCGATTTGATGGCCGTTTTACAAATATTACTCTTTTTTACACAGGATGGGTGGGAAATTGTGCCCTCTACCATGTGTACCATAGCCCACTTGAATAATGTTATCCGAGCGGTAGCTCTGTGATATCCACTTCCATGTGGGCACTTTTCCAACATGCAAGTACATTATGCATGTTCATTGTTCTTGTACCTCCTGTCGTTTGTGTGCAATACAGGTAATTGTTTGCATACAGGTGTAGTGACATAGAATCAGTCACTTAGCAGCATAGCGCTTGTTGTTGGCAAGGAAGGGGATTTGCAGTTACAGCAGCCCTGACTTACAGCAGGTCACGTAAATAGACCAGAGAGAGGGATGTAGGAGAAAGGTTACAAAAGGAGCACGTGAGGGATGCCCGACAAACCCGCTAGTAGGTTCTAGAAAGGGGGCGTGGCCGGGGCGGAGCGAGGCCACGCTGGGAGGATAAAAGGGGGCCCTGAGCGGGAGCTCGGGGCTGTTGCCTGGAGTGGGATCCCGTCGTGCTGCTGGAGTCTTAGTCGCCGTCTACGTCTTCTACATCTCAGTGTCGTCAGTCAGGCAGTCTGCCAGCTGTCCTGACTGTGAGCTGTAGTTACTAAGTGTGAACTGTTAAGGCTGTTAATAAACATAGTAACTTCTACTCTTAGTGTCTCTGAGTCAGTCACTACATAGGTAATCCCCATTGATGTATGGTGATCTGTATAGGCATGCATTTAAATTGCAGCGTTTCTTGTTTGACATTTTGTATTTCACTTCTCAGACCTATCACCATCTGACACTTTCTTATCCCGATGTATGAGTGTCTTGATGAGAGCGTAACTAATTTCTACTGGCCAAGACTAATTACAGAATCTATCGAAATTGAGAGAAATACAAATAATTGTAACCGTTCAGATAGTCACAGACTTCGTGCTGATTGGAAGCGAATCATCAAATAATATATTGTTTAAATGCATGTCTATACAGGTCGCCATACTTCAATATGGATGGATTACCGTTGGTACAAGAACAGTTGGCTTGCATAATTTGCATTCATAATGTATGTTGATTAATTAACATATAAATAACCCAAACAGTAATGAATACCCATAGTCATTTATATGTATTCATTATTCCCCCCCCCCCCCACTTCGCGCAAGAAGAGCGCACATGTTTTGTCATCACATCTACCCCTCTATTTAAGAAACTAAACAGGAGGACTTCTCCACAAATCTGGCTGTCGCCTCATGAAGCTGGTTGTAATTACTGGTGAAAGGTCTTACTCAGATTGTAAGTGCTGTGGCTCGGCTCTCCAACACACCGGTGTGCTGTACTAGTGTAGTAAGTATGTAGGAGGCTTGACGACAGGGTCGGAGGCACACTTGTTTATTACACCAACTTGTGCACACACAGTAATTACGGGTCACTTGGCTACAGGGATACACAACAGCTAACCCCGCTAACCTATGCCCAAGTCCTCCACTACGGAGCTAGGGGAGGCTATCTATCCCAGCCCTGGTCAAGCTGGGATCCCGGCACCCTGAGTCTCCAGACCGGCTCGTCAGTCTGGGCTCTCGGGGCCACGCCACCGGCTTGCCCTGGTCGGCCCTTATAAGGACAGCGAGCCAGGGGAGCTCTGGGGCCTATTCTAGCAGGTCTTCCTTCTTCTCTGGTTAAAGCTGAGCTCCGACCTCGAGCCCTCCGGCTCACCACCTTTTATAGGACTCGGCCCCCGGGAGGGGCCCATGGGGGATACAGGTGCGGACGTCGGTGCGAGCACCTCCCCTGTGTACGGCCGTAACCCCGCCCCTTGTGTTTGTTAGCCATCCGTGGCCATGCACAATTACACCTCAACATCCGTGGCCATGCACAATTACACCTCTACATCACCCCCCCCCTGTACAGCTCGCAGCCGTCCCCGGCTGCAAAGAAAATCAGAATAAAGGTGCATCCCCCCCGAAAACCGTGTGTGTGCCTCGTGTAATTTTAACAAGAACAAAGAGAACCATAACAAGAACAACAACAGGAAGAGAAAAAAAATAACCCGACGCACCCCCCCGAATAAATACCCCAAAACCAACATATATACACACACTCCGGACGCCTCCCCCCCCACTGTCCGCAAGGCCCCCCAACGGCCGACCTCACAATAGTCTGCGCGTTTTGGCGCGCGTTCTCGCGGCGGGCCCGTCACAAGGGCCCGTCCCGGCACGCTCAGTGGCGGTTGTTGACGATCCGGGTGCAAGAGAGTCTGGCGTCGCTGCCGAGTGACCCCCGACCCCTCCGGGAGGGGTTGGCGGGTGTGGACCCGTCACTCCTGTTGCACCTGGAGACGGAACAGTTGATTTCAGGTTAGGCGAGAGCAGCGACGTCGGGGAGTCGGCGGAACCCTCACACGTTTGGCCATGCGTGTGTGTGTGTGAACCACGGGGCGGCGCGATGAACGGTTTCAACCTTGAGGGGTGCACGTACCACCGACGCCTCCCCCATTTGACGCGAACACATTGCGGCCGCAAGACCTGTACGACCTCCACTGGCCCCCGCCACGGCCGTACCAACTTTGACGAGGTTGCCAGCGGCACCTGGGGAGAGTGCAACCATGCCCTGTCCCCTGGTTTCCATTTGAACACATGTACCCGCCCCAGCCGAAGCCTCTCGTTCGCCCTCTGGCGGAGTTCCGAATTTTGCACGGCCACTTCCCGCGCCTCAGATAATTTGCTGATGTTAAATTTAACGTGTTCGGACAAGTTAGACTTCGCCTGAGGCGCCGAGAGCTTCAGCTGGGTCGTCACAGGGGGGTTAGCCTCGCGGCCATACATTAAAAAGAAAGGGGAAAATCCGGTGGCCGCATGGGGAGCCATCCTGTAGGCCTGCAACACACCGGCTATGCGAAGGTCCCAATCTGTCTGGGATACCGACACCTGCTGGGACAGCATAGACGTGATGGTCCGATGCAGCCGTTCCACCATCCCGTCAGTTTGCGGGTGATACGGGGAGGTCCGAATTTTCTCCGTACCCAAGAGGTCGCACACCTCGCGGAGGAGTTT